CAGAGGTGTTCCCGAGGAACATTCCGTGGCAGCACTTGTTATGGGGGCAATCGGGTGCTTAGCACGCAGCGGAATCTCTTTACCGCAATCCGCACTTGTGGAAACTCAACCACTCGGGTCGTGCTTAACACGTCGTGTGCTCGAACTTTCCTTCGAACAGCCCCTTTCGAGTGCTGGAACAAAAGAGTGCCACGTCAGCAGTCACGAGAATATATTCGGGAGCGATTTTTATAGCTGGCTCCAATACATAACATATTCTCGGGCATTTTGCATATCGAGCCCGTAAATTGATCCTTGAATCATTGTGCAATATCCGGTTCTGGAGTTTTGGGCTCAAGTGGGGAGGGGCTCCGCGTGCCTTGAGCTGGTTAACCTGTACTTTCCCGGGTGCAGGGCTGACACTTCCCACACGTGCCTTCGGGCCATGGCTCCTTCTTCTGGAGGCCTTGATTGTGGGTACTACCTACACTTACGGCGATCTTTGAAGCGAATGAATTGTGCTTTGAGTGATGGTGCTTCTTTGTTGGGAAAAGAAGCGAATGGGAAAGAAAAGAGCTGCTTCGGCAGCTGGGGCAAAGCGTCTGGCAATGACCGAGATGCGCAACCGAGGGTGGCTCAGCGCCTACTTATGCTGAGCGCTTTCATTGTTCGAGCACGTGATTTTCAGCTTCAGCTGTTCCAGAAGGATTTTGATTTCTTGGCTCAACGAGGTGTGCCGAGAACCATGGTGTGGAGCGCAGTAGGGGCCTTTGGCTTGTGGCCAGGGGCTTCAGTGGGGGCCAGCTCTGATGGCACCAGTGGGGGCAGTAACTCTGCTGCCGCGGCAGATCCTTGGCAGTCGGGGACTGGTCTTGCATCTGCCGAGGATGATTCTCAGGTGCAGCTCTCGATGGGTGATTGTCGAGAGGAAGTCCCTGCTATTGCTGGGGCTGAATGCCCTGCTCAGGGGCTACCTTTGGTGAGTGAGCTTTGTGCGCACGCTTCTGCCACGCAGGCAAGTGCAACATTTGGGCTTCATATGATTGAGGACACTTTCTCCGAGGAATTTCTTTACTACGCGCCGCAGCAGCAGCTTCTTCCCTCAGCGGCTGGTCTGGCCCTTGGTGCTGGGCTGTGTGGGACGTCGCCTTGCGCTGCTGAGAACCCTGTGTGTGACATTCAAGAAATCAACAAGACCCGTGAAAGGGCAAAGAGCCTTAGAGGCCTAGCTAGTGATGATTGTGTGTGTCAAGAAATCAACAAGACCCGCGAAAGGGCAAAGAGCCTGAGAGGCCTAACTAGTGCCGATTGTGATGGTGAGTGCGAGCCTGACCGTAGGACGAAGAGCCTTTATGGCCGTGTTCTTAGTGTTCTGTGGGAGCTCAGCACTATCAAGACCCGCGAAAGGGCGAAGAGTGAGACTGATACCGGGCCTCTGGTGCCTGCTACTAGTTCTAGTGGTAGACATGGCTCCCTGGAGCCCCCCTGTTCTCCCTCCTCGCAGTGCTGCTGCCATGGCCTGGGCTCGCTGGCGGCTGGCGACGGTGGCGGCCAGTTCTTCATCGTGCAGGGCAAGGACACTGGTGCCGACGATGTTTCTTCCTGGGGCTGCTGCCCGTGCCGTGGTTCCTCTGCCCCCGTAGGGTTTAGGTCCTCCCCCATAGGGGTACCCGTGTCTTCTGTTGGGGGCAATGCGCTGCCCCATTGCTGCACTGCCCAAGCTTCACTTTCTCCCCTAGGGTTTAGGCCGTTGCCCTCTTGGGTGCCTGATGTCCAGGCTGCTGCAACAGCTGATCGGGATGATCTTGTGATGCCTAATAGAGCGTGCCCCCGGAGCCCAGGCGGTGGGTGCAATCCGGATTTGGAGTTTTTGTCAGGAGGAGGTGGGGTCGCTGACCCAGGGCTCCGGGGGCCTTCCCAATACAGGCCGCCGTCGGCGTGCAATACATCCGTGGGTCGAGGGGACTGTGGTCTCGTCGAGCAGTCCCAGGACCGTGCTGAGTGTGGTGGTGAATGCCTTCAACAGGGTTTCCCTTCGCCCCTTCGGTTTAGACACCCTCCTGTGCCTTTAGGAGTACCCGAGTGCACTTGCAAGCCCCTGAGAGGGAGAGATGCTGTGCCGACATGTGCGGTCTTGCCTCAGAGTGAGCCTGTAGCTTCTGATGTGCAGGGGCCACTGGGTCAAGACAGGCCGAAAGGTCCGAGTATATCCCGCGTGGCCCCTGGTAGTTTGACGCCTTGCTGCCTGTGTTGCGGGTGCCATGCTGACATGTTTGATCCGAGAAGTCCGCCTGTCTGTGTGCAGTTGCAGGGGTCAGTGGGTCAAGGTAGGCCGAAAGGTCCGAGTATATCCCATTTGGCCCCGAGCAGCCTGCTTCCAACACGTGTGTGCGAGGTATGCTCTGGTGCGATGCACAACTGCGATTGTGGACTGCGGCCTGCTGATGGGCAGCCTCTTCCGAGGCAGGGTGGTGACGGGCAAGTGCAAGGGATCTCGGGTCAGGACCTGGACTCTGCTGCTATCTTGCGCTCCTGCTTGTCTGAGGGCTGCTCGGGTCCCACGGCCTAAGGTTTGGAGGCGGTAACCCGTTTGAGGGCATGATGGCCAGTATCACGGAACAGCTTATGCCCATGATCACTGCGCTCATTCAGAAAGCTGTGCAGGAAGCCATTGCAAATGCAATGGGAGGTGCCCCGGCAACCCCTCCCCGTGTTGTGCTGCAGGAGCCGGACCTGGAGCGAGGGCCCAAACGCCATAAGCCTGACCCTAACCCCAGTAACAAGCGAAAAAACCATGAGTCGAGCCGCCATCCTTCTTCTCGTGAGCCGGGCGAGGGCAAAGCATCTGGTGGCAGAGGTGGTCAGCCTGCTGCTGCAAAGGGCTCGGCCAAGAGTGCTGCTAAAGGCAGTGCAGAGGCGTCCCCACCCAAGTCTGGACCTAAAGGCAAAGGGCAGGGCGATCGGCCTCCTCGCGATGCTGAGGGCTGGACCAAGGTTCAGCGTGCTCCCCCGCAGGGCCCCTTCCAGCTCCGAAGGCAGGATTGGAGCGCGCAGTTGTTGTCGCAGGATGGCATTGCCAAAGCATTGGACGATCTTAAACCGGGTTCTACTCTGGAAGCTGTCGTTCTTGTCGAGCCCTCGGCGCTGCCGCGAATTCGCACCATGCTTGCAGGCACCAGCAAATCCCATAAAATCACCCTTGTCACCTTGGACGCGAATGGTCCTCACAAGGTCCCGGGAAGTGTGGGTGATCTCCTGCGTTTTCGACGAGCCTCGATTGTGCATTGCAAATCTGACCCTGCTGATGGTGGTGTCCCTTGCTTTGCGGGACACAAGGCCAAGGCCATTAAAGTTGTTCCGGCGTCCACTTCGGTAGTCTACTTTAAGGTGCCCGAGATGTACATGACGCCTGACAAATTCAAGCATTGGAAGAACAACCCGAGTCGTGCTGCTTCTTCTTGGGCCAGTTCTCACCAAATCACTTTGAGTGACACGTGGGGTTGGGTCGAGGAGCAGCAGGCTGGCAAGCAAGGGCTGCAGCTGTTCGGCATTGCTCGTCTCCTGGATGCCGAGTTGTCTTCTCTCGTTGCTGTCAGTGGCCGGGATGGAGTTTTTGTTGATGTGCCGCGCGGCAAGCTCGTCTCCACTGTGCAGTGGCTTGCTGTTACCAAGGGGGAAGCTCCGGCTGCGTATCTTGAACGCGGCCTCCGCATGAGTGCTCCTTATGGTCTTGCCACCCAGGGCGGACGCATTGGCGCCAGATCGCCTAGAGATCCCTCACAGGCTGTCCCGCGTGTTTGGAATTTCCCTCATGTGCCGGCTAGCTGGGGACAGAAGGAAGTGCTGCAGGTGTTGGACCAATCCTTCAAGGATGTGGCTTTGATTCAGCATAAGCGCACTGGCGCCGAGTACTTGTATCGCTTTAGAGGTACGCTTAAACACGGCGATCATGATCTGGTCCCTTTGAGTGCCATCGTCGAGACCGAGCCGGGAAAGGATAATGAAATCACGCTGTGGGCCACGGTTGCACCCTACAAGCCTAAGCAAGCTAAGCAGCGACCTTTGCGATGTGCGCCGACTCCCTGCCTTGCCAAGGAGAAGCCTGCATTGGAGCCCCAATCTGTTAAAATTCAGGTCCCTGCTGAACTGGATGCTGACGGTAAGGAGGTGTCCCCTGCCAAACATGTTGCGGCTTCGCATCGGCAAATCCCCTCGGGGTGTGATCTCATTGAGACTCCGAAAGACGGAGCCTGTTTGTTTCACGCCATAGCGCGTGGCCTCCACTGGCTTTCGGGCCCTAAGAAGACCGAGTACTCCCACAGGGACTTGAGGGCGCGCTGTGTAGAGCACTTGCGAAGATATGCCTCGCAATATATAGGTGAATGGGACGGCCACGGGCCGGCTTTACAAAAATTGCGCGAAAATGCTGAATCTCCGGAAGTTGCCTTTGAGGAATATACCTCAAGTTAATTGCTTCGGAATCTGCATACGCCTCTACCATCGAGCTGAAGGCTCTCGGACGCTTATTTGATTGCCACATCCTTGTGATCCCACGCGATGGGAATTTTAGTGCGATGTCGTTTCATGCGCAGCAGCGCAAAAGGAGGCTGGTGTTATGGTATACACCTCGGCACATCGAGCTTCTTTTGCCTGCTAAGGATGCTAAAGAATACCCTGAGGAGGTCTTTTCAGTTACGAGTGGTGCTGTCGTTGACTTGCGGGCTGGAGGGGATGATGCTTCCCAGTGTTCTGGTACTGTTTGGACTGCTAGCGCCCGGTCACACCGATCCAAGGCCAGCCGATCATCTTCTGTGAAGACGGGCACCGTGTGGACTGCCACCAAAGCGTCGAGCAGAAAGGCCGCGTCGCAATCCCGGCATGTTGCTTCAGTTCCGAGTTCGCAAAGGGGCGGTTGTCTAGCTGCCCCCCGGTCTGGTTCCAGTTCTTTTAAGCGTGCTCGTGGTGAAGCCGTGACGGTCTGGTCTCGAACCGTCTCTTCTGGTGCTTCTGTGCATTCTCAAATGCCTGCCTTGCCGGAGTGGGACGATGATGATGCCCCGCAACCTGAGCGGTTGCATCATGCCAGCCGGGCCCTGCCTCAGTCTGCCCTTGTGATGGCCCGTCGTAATCGCGGCCGAGCCTTCCCTGATGGAGTTGCTAAATGCAGGCTTTGTCCCTTTCGCCGCAAGTGTGCTGATCCTGTGAAGGCCTATGCGGCCTACCAGCGGCATTTCTTGGATTCGCATCCGGGGGAGAAGCTTGGGCTCGCTCCTGCCTGCCAGGCTTCCTGTGTCCGGGTCCTCGCTGATGGCGAGGAGGCGCACTGGAGATGCAAACGGTGCCAGGCAGGCATCTCGACTGCTGATGCGGCCCGCTTTGGCAAGGACTCCCTGTGGCGCTTCCGCCGGGAGCATAAAACAAAGGCCCACCCGCGCGTCTCTTGGGCTGTGTGGAACAAGGAAGCGAAATCACACTCGGCCACCAAATGGGCCTCAAAGATCAGTGTCACTCGCAATAATGCCCAGAAAGCTAAGCTCCTGCCGGTGCTGCGCGAGCTTGAGGCTCAGGACTTTGATGCCTTCGGATGGCCGCGCCAGGCCGGGAAGGACACCAATACTGTTGATAAGTATCCCTTGCGCATATGCCCGGCTTGGGTGTGTCGCAAATGCCGAGCGCCGTGCCCCTCTGCAGAGATTGCTAGGAAGCATCGCTCGGTCAAGGGACAGTGCCCTTCTCGCACTGCTAAGGCGAGGGCGTGGATTCGGTTGCGCTCCCTTGCTGCCAATAAGAAGCTTCATGATGCTGCTCCTGCCTCTGTTCGCAAAGAGCAAGGCGAGCTCGCCTTCGCTGCTGCTGAAAAGGCCTTGCGAGCCCCCATGTCGTCGGTGTGATTCGTCTTTCGTGCTTGAATGTTCACCGGCGTGGCACGTCGACGGTGGGGCTGCTCGATGCTCTGCTTCGGCAAGGCCCCCCACAGATCATGGCGTTATCCGAGGTCAATGTTCCTGCAACGGCTGGCATCGGCTATCGCAACCAGTGGAAAGCGCACGGCCGGCATGTTGCTCTGAGCGCTCCTGAGGATCTCGGCAGCCGGGTTGCCTTGGTCAGCGATTTTCCTTTTCGGCACGTTCAGCTGTGCAAGGGTCCTGCTTCTACCAGGCACGTGGCGGGGCTCTTTAATTTGCGATCCCTCCCTGAGGATGATTCTTTGCTCCCTGCGAGCTCCCGGAGTGCCACTGATGAAACCATCCTGGTGGTGGCCTTTTATGGCCAGGCAGGCAACGAGCCAGTCGCCCAGACACAGGTGGATGAGGTTTTGGAGTGTGCGGTTTCCTCGGGTTATAGGTTTGTGGTTTTGGGCGACTACAATCTCGAGCCTTCCCAAGGCCGCTTAGGATCGCTAATTTCGCAAGGCATCGTGCTTGCTGGTGATGAATGTGCGCGTGGCCGGCCCCTTCCTGCCACGGGCCCGGTCAATGCCCAAGGAGTGCGCACTCGTCGCATTGATTTTGCCGTTAATCATCGTGACTTGCCTGCGGTTTCTGTAGATCACTTTACGTGCGATTTTTCGGACCACTTGGGGGTACACTACTCGTATGCCCTCGATGCTCCTTGTCCCTTGGTTGGGCCCAAGCGCTGTAAGCCTCGTGGCGATCTCCAGCCTTCTGACTTGGAGTCCAGATGTGCTCAAATTGATGCTGGACCCTTTGCGAGCGCCTTGGAACAGAAGAACATTTTCTGCTTGCAGACTTTTCTTTCTTTTAAAAACCTGACAGGCAGCAGAGCTGCCGTGTTTTGCATGTGAGTTTTTGAAGAACATTTCTTGCATGAGAACTTTCATTGTCTTTGAATAAGCAGATCGGATACCTTTGGCTTTCCCGCGAGTCTGCTCAAAGAGAGAGGCAAGAAATTTTTCTTTCGAGGCCTCTACAGTGTCCCGTATTGTGCAAGCTAACAGCCTCCAGGTGCTAATCTCAGGGCTTTAGCTGCGTGCACAGTGCCCCCTGTTGGGGGCGCTAGATGGACGGGACAACTCCTGCGCCTCAGTCGGCGCCAGCCACGTGCCCTGTTACAGGGCAGCTTCTGCCGCAGGTCGCCGCTCCGACTGAGCCGGCACCCTTCCCGCCTGAGCCTCCATTGTCCCTGCCGCCAGGATTGCCTTCGGCCGGTCCCGAGTCGGTGTCCGGGGGTGTTAGGGGACTTCGGGACTTCGGGGTTACGGTTGGCGATTTGCCTGGTCAATCCGTTGAGATTAGTGACGAAGACCAGGACCTCGATCAAGACCGCTCGAGTTCTCCTTGGAACCTGCTACATGAGAGGGAGCCTGAGGGCAACAGCCCTCGGGAGTTTGTATTTTCAGAGGACAGGGACTTTTCAGATTTTGATCTCGGGAGTCTTGCCAACCATGCTTCGTGGGATAAGGAACCTTCAGACTTAGCTTACGAACCTTCCCTTGCCGAGGAAAGGGAATGGTACTCTCAGGTAGGGGAAACGGATCCGACAGAACCTCATGAAGCCTTTCCCCCTGGGATTGTCCAGGGGGGGGAGGCAGTTTCTTGGTTAAATGGTGCCGCTGCGGATGATGATGCAATACAGGCAGCCACGGTGGCCTTCTGCAAGAAGCGACGACTTGATCTGCCCTCGCAGCCTTGGAGCCAGCCCAAGACCTTTCTTCAGAAGTCTTATGATGAAGTTTTTGGTTTTGTGCCTGCAGTGGGGGTGAGGGAAGTCTTCATGGGTTCTGCGTCTTCGGCAGAGCCCGCACCGGAGGCCGCCAGTGAAATACCTTGGACCGTGATCCGTCGCCTGACGCGAGTCCGGTTAACCCAGAGCGATGACGACATTCGAGATGCGGCCTTGAAACGTTTCAAGGTCTTGATACTGCTAGACCCGGAAGCTACTCGCCTTGGGGCAAGCCTGCTCAAACAAGGTTTGGGTCTGGAGCCTGACGAGGTGATCGCTTCTAGCATTGCAGATGCCTTTCGTGCCAAGGCCTCCACGACAATCCAGAAACGAGCCCTCTCGCTGCAATCCTTGGCTATCATGGCTTATGACCTAGGCTTTGAGTCACCCTGGCGCTTGACCGAGCCCCAGGCCTATGAGATCTTCAGCAAGCTTCGCAGCTCGGATGCCAAGGCCTCGACTGCCTCCCACTTCGTGGAAGCTCTGGGGTTTCTGCACGGGGTGGCTGTTTTCAACTTCATGGCCTTGGACATCATTTTATCTTCAAGGGTGCGGGGCATTGCAAGAGACATGAAGCTTCACAAAGAGCCGCTCAAGCAGCGAGATCCTTTATCTTATGCGAGGGTCAGAGCCTTAGAGGGGCTAATGACCAAGACTTCAACTTGGGTACAATGCGTGCTCGGCTTCATGCTCTTCTGCCTACACTCTTGTTGCCGCTGGGCGGATGGTCAGCGAGTCAAGGGACTCGAGCTGGTGGGAGAAGGCCGTGGGCAACTTTTGATTGCATCAGGTCTGGGGTCTAAGACGTCATTGACGGCTGACGCCCAAACGAAGTTTCTGCCGTACGTATGCGTGGCTGAGGGGGCGAGCGGCCAGCCTTGGGCAAAGTTGTGGCTGCTTGCCCGTACTGCTGAAGGCCTTGCCTTCTCGGCGGGGTGCCTTCCGTCGTGGTCTCAGCGTGCCAACTGCTGGGCAACGGTGCCTATGAGTTCGGAGGAGGGATCAGACCTCCTTGAGGAGTTCCTCCTTACCATTGACATGGGGGCCTCCCGTGACGAATCGATTGGTACCCACAGCTTGAAGGCTACCCTGCTTTCATGGGTGGGGTGGAGCTCCACAGTCCATTTTAGTGCCAAGGAGAAGTTGCTACTTGGGCATCACTTCAAACGGGGAGGTTCATCTAACCTCATCTATTCCCGCCAGTACTACATCTCCCTTGCAGGTAAGCTCCTTGCACTTTTCGAGAGCATTAGGGCTGGAGATTTTGATCCCGACATGTCAACCTCTGACAGAGTTGCAGCTGTTGCGTCGAGACACTTCAGCCGCCCGGAGCCAGACGCCCCGGTACCGCCGAACGAGGATCCCGACGAGCTGGAGTCGCTGGCTTCCAGGTCTGCCGAGTCCGAGGCGGAGTTCTTCGGGCATCCAACGGTGGCTACTGGATCAAGGCTCCCCTTTACGGAATGCACAGTTGACCAGTTGATGATCCACTCCCTGTCAAACATCGTGCACAAACTGAGGGATGCTTCAAGCTTCTTTTGCGGGAGGCCGGTCACCTCTAGGTACAGAGTCTTCACCACTGAAGACGAGGAGGAGCCTGAGCCGTGTATTCAGTGTCGTCGGGCATCGGAGTTTTGACCAGGTCTGAGACGCCGCAGACAAAAGCCGTAGGGAGCGAGTGGTTGCAACATTCACAAATTGGGATGCCAGGACCTGTCGAAGCCTCATAAGTCTTGAAACAGTCCATGCTGATCGGCCGGCCTTTGTGCCCGTGGCCTCGGCCGTGTAGTTATGGCGCTACGATGGCTTAGGGCTGATACGCAAGGTTGGGCATACCCCTTTGTGTTTTGGGTCGGTGAGTTTCTCACCCGAGACCCGAGTGATATATCTGACGACAGAACTTGTCGGTTTGACCCATGACGGCTTGAGAGAGAAGCGCTGGGATTGATTAACGCGGTGATGACTGTAAGTCCGAGTCACCACATGCAAATGTCAGCCGGTATCTCACGATACCCGGGGCTGGCCTTGTGATCGTGTATCGCCTTGTGCCGGCCAGGGTTGGCCCGTGGCACGGGTGGATGATTGAGCTGCCCTTATTGCGGCCGTGGCTCACAGCGGAGGACCATGATGGTTGCTGGCACGAGAGCATCACCTGTCAAACGTTGATCCAAGATCACCGAACTCGGGGGTTTAATCGAGATCGCTTGCAGCCATGACGTCGGCCACCTTGGACTCGGAGGCTGCTTTTCAAGAAAGGTGTCTCCGAATCGGCATGACGCCGGAGCTGTATGGCAAGCTCAAAGATAAGGGCTATGACACCTTCGGGAAGATCGCCTTTGCTGCTGCGAGCTCCCCGCAGGCCCTTACCGATGAGGCCATCGATGTGTGGTTGGCCACGGTCGTAGATCCAAGGCCTTCAGCGTTCCAGGTTTCGGTGATCAGGCGGCTCCTATTTGAAAGCCAGTCGCTCAACATTGCTGACTTGCGGACCCGTGTGGAAGGCCAGCCTGAAAACACAATCAAGAAACTTCCCACTGCTGAACGAATAGCCAGACAAGAAGCTCAGCAGGCTCGCTTGAAGGGAGTCGTCTTCACGGTGTCGAACCAGCCATCCCATGCGAGCATCGATCAGGTCACCGACATGTTGGAAAACAACTCCTTGCGGTATCTGCCGATGAACAGGTGGACCTCCCGGTCACAGGAGCTGAGCTTGGCAAAGAAGGACTCGTCGATCCAAATCGACGCGGAGGGGAACCTCAAGCTAGGCACTAAGGTCCCGGATCCGGTTTGCGACACAAATGGCGCTTATGCGCTTCGGCAAGCCTTCTTTCGCCGCTCGCTTGCTCTGGACCTAGGGAACCTCTGCACCTTTGAGGTGATGGAGGAGTGGGTCAACACCATCTTCGAACTGACCCAGCGGCAGGTTCCCACCGGGTACACCAAGGTCTCCTTGTCCCAGATTGTAGCAGCAGATAAGGAACTCTTCATCAGGGCAGCGAACAACCTTGAAGGAAAGCTCCAGAAACCAGTGGGAGCTACCAAGCCGTTGGATGCAGAGCTGAAGCGTTTGTCTGTGTCGCATGACATCACGCAGTTCTTGTCACCCTTGCTCACCCCGCCTCCGCCGGCCCATCCTAACAAGAGGCCCCAGGATGGTGACGACGATGCACCGCCCAAGAAGACTAAAGGCAAAGGTGACAAAGGCAACAAAGGCGGGGGCAAGGGCAAGACACCGAGGATCGAGATACCTGAAGGTTGTTCCGCACGTGATTCGCAGAACCGACCGAATTGTTTTGGGTTTAACTTGGGCACCTGTAAGGCCAAGGTGGTGAAAGGTAGGTGTCCGAAAGGATTTCACCAGTGTTGGAAAATAGGCTGCACCAAGAATCACCCGTACAGTGAATGTACGCATGGCATGCAGTGACCCAGCCAATCGGGAGGTGGGCCAGCTCCTGAGGCAGCTCCCTTGGCCCACGGTGCAAGCCGAGCTACATGCTCAGAGTCTTTCGCGAAGACTCTTAATTCAGTCAATGTGCCGCCGTCCCGTCTTGACTTGCAAAAGTTGCATGAACATATTGTTGCGGATGGCTTGCTACGTCCTGACGCCAGAACTCAGCAACCGAATTTTGGGGTTGGGGCTTTTTCCCAGGGAGGGCTTCAAGGTCTGCGTGGTGAGTGTAAGAACTTCCCACAAACGACCAAAGCTATTACAGCTTTCGTGCGAGCTCAACTCCCGGATCTTTTCTTCACGACTGTTTTCCTGTTTTGCAATTCCATGACATCAATGCATGTAGATTCCAAGAATCATAAGTCCCCCACTGGTGTCATACCGATCGGAGCGTTCACAGGAGGCCACATCTGGGCCCAGTGTGACCATGGTTCGGTTATGCGCCCCATCAACGGCACACCGACCGCTGGCGAATTACTTGATGTGTCTGCTGGACCCATCACCTTCGAGGCTTATTCCCGAGGCCATTGTACCGAACCGTGGCATGGCAACAGACTGATCGCTGTGGCATTTTGTGTCTCTGATTTGTCCAAACTTCCTGTTGCCGATGCAAATTCCCTTTTGTCCCTTGGGTTTATGCCCCCGACCTCCTTGGGTTTCCCACTTCAGATCGCCGAGCAGGCGCAGCCCCCGCGACCTGATGACACGTGGATCTTCGAGATCTTTTCGGGCACTGGGGGTTTCGCTCGAGCTTGCCTCCGGAAAGGGTTCAAGGTTCTAGCCTTTGATGCTATATTAGCCGGGGCCATGGTCCCTACTGCAAATCTTGACTTCTCCACAGACGCAGGTCGCGAGGTCTTTATGTCAATGTTGAAGCAGTGCAAACCTTTTCACATCCACCTAGGGGTGCCGGCAGGTTCTGCGTCAGCCTCCCAGCGGGCCACGAAACCCGACTGCCGATCACAGGGCGCCCGTTTGAGCATGCTTCGGACGCCGACACATTGCTTGGGTGTGCCCCAGATCGTGTGGTCTTCTGCCGAAGGCATCAAGCTTAGGAAGGAAAATGCCCTTTTCCGGTTCTGCTTCGATGTCATTTGCTTATGCCTCGACGCCAACATTTCAGTCAGCGTCGAAAACCCGGCCAACTCTTTGCTGTGGCATGTCTTCCAACGCTTTGCTTCTCAGGCTGCCATCAGGTGGCCACCTAGCCAACTTGAACAGGTTATCTTTGCCATGTGTGCGCATGGGGGTGACCGCCCCAAGCAGTGCAAGCTTCTGGCTTCCAAAGGCCTCTTTTCCCCTCTGGCAGCCAAGTGCAGCAAAGATCATGAGCATGCTCCATGGTGGTCGCACTCCCGCCTCAGTGCGTGCTATCCGCCTTTGCTCTGCACACGCATGGCAGACTGTGTCTCGTCTCTAGCATCACAGTCGGGCCGGTCCTCACGGCGCCCGATGACTTCCATGCAAAGGCTATGGCTGCAGCAGCCAAGCAAAGCAGGCGGCATGCCCCGCTCATTCCGGAGTTTCACAAGGTCACCTGGGAAACTCCCCGCTTCAAGCCAGATAAGTCTTGCAAGATCCTCCTGCCCCACGTTGAGGGGGATAGTGGGGGTCAGACTTCGGATCCAAAGAACTTGAAACCTGTCAAGGTAGGCCATTGGCTCGATATGGATCAGCATGTCTCGAAAGCCCGAACGTTGCAGCATCCTGTGGACCAGGCGATCGCAGTTGACCCACCTGTGTGGGAAGCCGTCAACTTTTGCATGGCGCATGACTCTGCCAAAGCTAATCAGCTTAGGAAGCTTGAGCTCCTTAAGGTGAAGCTCCTTGCCAAATCCCTTGAAGAGGAAGAGACAAAACTTCATGCCTCCTTCCCGCCTTGGTTCGAGAAGGTGGTCAAAGGAAAAAGGATTTGCTTGTGGGAGTCTCTCTTGAGAAATCATGGCTTTGACGACATGGGGGTAGTGGATCTGATGAAGAAAGGGGTGCCTTTGGTAGGAACTTCGGAAAAACCTGAATGCTTTAAGACCAAGGTGGCCATGGCTTCCATGTCCGAATCGGAACTCAGGGCCACTGCCTCTTTGCGCCGTCGTGCTGCCTTGTCAAAACCGAACCGTGCGACCCCTGAAGAGATTTCGCTTCTTCAGGAGGCCTCTAACTCCGAGGTTACCGATAACTTCATAGAGCCAAGAGTTCGTTTATTGCTTGGCAAGGCATTCCGGCTTGTAATTTCCCAATATGAGTTTCAATACGGTTTGAATACGATTTGTAGATACGGTTGTAAAACTACGATACGGTTTTCAATACGGTTTTAATACACATTCGGATACGGTTCTGGATACGGGTTTGAATACGGGTTTGGATACGGTTCTATATACGCCTAGGAATTCTGGATATGGGTTTGGATACGGTTCTGAATATATAGGCCTACGAATTCGGGATATGGGTACTGAATAGGATCTATGATAATGCTGGGAATATGGAAACGTTTCTGAATAGGCCTAGAACTAAGATCTGGGCAGGCTTCTTGTTGCCGCATTGAATTGCCGGCACAACCCACGGCTGTGCAAGACAGCCTGAGTGCCAAGCAATGCTGCACTGTTATCATTACCGGATCAGTTTTGCTAGTCTTGGCCAGAAGAGAAAATCGATCGGGTCCCCACCCCGCCCCACCCCAGCCCAGCCCCTTCACCCCGCCCCCGCCCTGCCCCCACCCACCCCACCACTCAGTGAAGGGAGGGCGCGACCCTGTATGGAAACCTGTATTGGAAACCGTATTGGAAACATCCAAACCGTATTGGAACCCGTATTGGAACCCGTACTGGAACCCGTATTGGAACCCGTATTGGAACCCGTATTGGAACCCGTATCCAAACCCGTATTTCGCTTGGGTTTTACCACCCCAAACCGTTGTCCAAACCGGACCAAGACAATTTTACGGGTCAGGATACGGGTTTCGGCGTGGTTGCAATACACCCCGCACAACCGCCACACCCTTGCCCTGTGCTGGGTTTGCCTGCCCTGCGCACGCCCTGCCCTGCTGCCCTGCCCTGGGTGGTTTGGTGCCAAAACCCAAGCGTTTTACGGGTTCCAATACGGGTTCCAATACGGGTTTCAATACGGGTTCCAATACGAGTTCCAAAACGAGCTCCAATACGGGTTCCAATACGGTTTCCAATACGGTTCCCAATACAGGTTTCCATACAGGGTCCCGCCCTCCCTCACCGGGTCAGTCGGTGGGGTGGGTGGAGGCAGGGCGGGGCGCACGGCCGTGGCGGGCGGGGGCGGGGTGAAGGGGCTGGGGTGGGGTGGGGTGGGGACCCGATCGATGTTCCCTTCTGGCCAAGAGTGGCTAGCAAAAGTAATCCTGTAATGATAACAGTGTAGTATTGCTTGGCACTCAGGCTGTCTTGCACAGCCGTGGCTTGTGCCGGCAATTCCATGCGGCAAGAAGAATATTTCGACCTGCCTTCTCAAACCTATTACTAACCCTACCACGAACCCCTGTCACAAAATCTTATTGTGTATCTCGACCTGCATTCTCACTGGTATCTGTACCAATATGTTGTTTTTCAACCTGTATTCAAAACCGTATTCAAACCCGTATTTCCTTTTTCGACCTGTATTCAAACCCGTATTTAAGCCCGTATTCAAGCCCGTATTCAAACCGGTATTCAAACCGTATTCCGTCCAGCCCAATTCGTATTCCAACCCGTATTGAAACCGTATTGGAAGCCGTATTGGTATTCCAACCCGTATTGCCGATTCGTATTCAAACCCGTATCTGAACCTATATCGGAAAATAATCGTGGAATCGGACCCGAGGCTGACATACGAACTCTTGGTCATAGAGGGACCCTACACCGAAGCCCAGGTCACTGAAATTTTCGGCCATTCGGATTGGGGCATCATTCCCAGGTTCGTTCTTGAGCAAGGCCTTGAGAAGAAGATTCGACCCATAGATGATGGGCATGCTTCGCAGGTCAATGAGGCTTTCACTTCCTTGATTAAGCTGGAACTTCAAGGGGCCGACTTCGTTGCGGGTCTGGCTCTGCTGATCTCCCAGGCCGAAAAGGAACGTTCAGAGCGCCTAGGTGTCGCTGCGAGGAAGTGGGTGGGTCGGACCCTAGACCTCTCAAAAGCTTATAAACAACTAGGGGTACTCCCGCAACACCGTGACATCGCCGTCATCTGCCATCCCAATGAGAATGGCGAACCGCAATTCTTTATTGCGAACGCACTGATGTTCGGCTTGACATCGTCGGTGTATGGATTTGTAAGAGTAGCTAGAAGCTTGCATTTCCTGCTGGCCAAAGTGCTGAAGATCCCTTCAGCCAACTACTTCGACGATTACCCTCTCTTCACGTTGAGAGATGGGGCCCACGAGCTTGATGGTTTAACTTCCGAATTCCTAGAATTGCTGGGGTGGCGCTTCGCCCAGACCGGGGTAAAGGGTCAACCGTACGAGGAGGCCTTCACAGTCCTCGGAATGCAGCTGGACATCAGTCGTTTGCATGAAGGTGCTGCCGTGCTGGCAAACAAGGAAGGCCGTGTCAAGCGCATTTCCGAAATGCTGGGCAGCATCTTTGACAAGGGAGCCCTGGGCAGGCATGAGGCGCAAGTTCTCCTTGGACTCTTGAACTATGCCTCAGGTTTCTTTGCAGGCCGATCCTTGAAGCCAGCGTGCCACTTCCTGCTCTCCTTGGTAAGGGGGAAGCGCCAAACGGCTGCCGAAATAAAGCGCTTCTGCAAAACTACGCAGGCTGTCTTGAGCACCACTCCACCTAGAGTCCTTCGCATCTTTGACCCTCGACCGCCCATTCATGTTTGGACGGATGGAGCTTGGGAAGATCCTTGGGCGGGAATAGGTGCGGTTGTTCTTGACACGCTAGATGATAGTGCCAGGGTTTTTGCCGGTTGTGTACCCGCTAAGCTTTTGGAACGCTGGAAGCTGGATGTGGGATCGCAACTCATATGCGAGATCGAGCTCTACGCTTTGGTCACTCTGCGTCGCATGCTCCAAAACAGCTTGTGCAACAGAAGAGTCATCTTTTGGCTTGACAACGAGGCCGCACGCACCTCAGCCATCAAAGGTTTGAGCCAGAGCGAGTCGATGTATCGCCTCGCCCATTATCTTGCAGTGATCGAAGCTGAGGCGACTTGTATCGCTTGGTACGAGAGAGTGCCTTCCTTTTCCAACATAGCCGATCCCCCTTCACGAGGTGAGGGGCACAGCATCCTCAGCTTGGTAGGCGCCAAGGTCGTGGAAGCTTTCATCCATGATGAAAGCTCAAACCAGAGATTCCTTCATCAGGGGTTCGCGTGATGTCGGGGGCATTCAGGACGCTGCTCCCTTGATCTTGGAAATCTCAGCTTGCCAAACCCGAGATGCTTGATCATCGGTTTGGCCGGAGCTGTGGGGGCTCCTGAATCAGAATTCACCCTTGATCACCGTGCGAATAAAAAGAGTGTGGCGCGAGAGTTCTGTGAATCCTCATTTAACTTACATTGTGAGGATCTCTGATACAATATATCTTTTACTGATTGATCTTGCCATATTCCGAGATGGATTGATTTTTATATGATTGGCATCGCTTTGATACGTGATATCTGATATCACTCGACCTTTGCGAAACATCAGGTTTTTGAAAGAAGAACATTTTCTGCTTGCAGACTTTTCTTTCTTTTAAAACCCTGACAGGCAGCAGAGCTGCCGTGTTTTGCATGTGAGTTTTGAAGAACATTTCTTGCATGAGAACTTTCATTGTCTTTGAATAAGCAGATCGGATACCTTTGGCTTTCCCGCGAGTCTGCTCAAAGAGAGAGGCAAGAAATTTTTCTTTCCCACCCTCCCACCCAATGCGGACGGGGGGGCATTCAGGACGCTGCTCCCTTGATCTTGGAAATCTCAGCTTGCCAAACCCGAGATGCTTGATCATCGGTTTGGCCGGAGCTGTGGGGGCTCCTGAATCAGAATTCACCCTTGATCACCGTGCGAATAAAAAGAGTGTGGCGCGAGAGTTCTGTGAATCCTCATTTAACTTACATTGTGAGGATCTCTGATACAATATATCTTTTACTGATTGATCTTGCCATATTCCGAGATGGATTGATTTTTATATGATTGGCATCGCTTTGATACGTGATATCTGATATCACTCGACCTTTGCGAAACATCAGGTTTTTGAAAGAATGATTTGGACGGGGCTTGGCGCTTCTTGTCGGACACCGCTGAGCTTCTGCTGTGTGAGCCGTGCTCTGCAGAGTGCGTTCCTCGCGCGTCTTCCTGGGAGCCTGTCGCCCACAGTGCGGCGGGACGGGCTGGCAAGCAGCTTGTGAAGTCGGAGAGCCTGCGCCTTTTGCTGCGACTCCGTGCGAGGCTTCAGGTTCTTTCCCACCGGACGAACGATGCTTTGCTGGTGGCGCGAATCCGGCGCTCACTCCGGTCCACGCGCTTGAAGGTGCCCAGCCTGCCTTATGCCCGTGATGGCGATGAGCTCTCTCTTCTTCCACATGTTGCACAGCTCATCGAGACTTTCACGCAGCAGGAGGAGGAGGCAAGAAAGCAAATGTGGCGCACCAGGACGCGTGCTGACCTGCCTCGTGCCCGGTCTTTTGTCAAGCGGCGCGCTGATGAGCAGCTTGCTTGGGAGCGTCAGCTTCCGGATGTCGCCAGTCCGGGCGACCCTGCACATCCGGCGGTTGCGGTTGCAGCTGTGGCGAGGGACCTGCGGGAGAAGCTCTGTCCCGCGTCCTTTCGGGCGGTTGACATGCAGGCCATGCGTGATCTTTTGCGGCCCCTGCCGCGCCCCGCCAGCTCGGAGGTCGTGCCTAACATCACGCCTGAGGCCCTCCGACGATCTATGCAGTCCATGCGGCACCGTGCTGCGGGGCCGGATGCGTGGAAACCTGGACTGCTTTGTTCCATGCCTGATCTTTGGTGGGAGTGGACCTCCCAGCTGTGGAATCGGTGTTGTGACGTCCCCGCCCAGTGGGCGCAGGCACGTGTGGTGATGATTAAGAAAATCAAGGGGGGCTTCAGGCCGTTAACCATCTCTCAAGCTGTCTGGCGTGCGGGAGCAAGGATTTTGAATGCCCAACTCTCCGACTGGATTGGTTCTTGGAGGTCTCCGTCGGATGCCGGTGGCATCCCGGGCACGTCGGTGTCGGGTGCCCTGCTTCAGCTGAATGCTGCAATGCGCGGAGGCGCTAATGTTGCGGTCCAACAGGACATTGCGGGTTTCTTTGATGCCATCCAGTTTGAAGCCCTAGAGGTCCTCCTTTCTCATTTGAAAGCGCCGCCTTTTCTTTGGCCGCTGCTGAAGGCCTTTTACACGCGAGCTTCGCGCATCGTCCAACTTGATGGTGCATATAGTGATGCCTGGTTTAAGCCCCGCTTGGGTATAGCTCAGGGTTGTCCCTTAAGTCCCACCCTTGCTGCCGCATTTAGCCACCTTTGGACCTTGGCTGTGTTGAGGCAAGGGGTTTCAGGCCTGGTCTACTTGGACGACCGTTCCTTTTGGACTTTCTCTGCGGATCTTGGCGACCTGGAGCATGCGATTCGGCGCTCCGACCGATTCGATGCCACTTGTGGTCTTGAAATTTCCCTGCCAAAGTGTGCGATCGTGGCGCCAGAGGATCGTACGGGTGGACTTGTCCACTGGTGTTTTGCAAATGGAAAAACGGTTTCCTTTCTTTTGGTAAAACTGGAAAGTTTTCCTTTATTCGCTTTTGCCAGTGCCTGCATCTTCTTGCCTCGGTACATGTCGTGAAGCTCTGTGCATCCGCACTCCGCTTTGGATCAAGTTGCAGCGAAGTCGCTTCGCAATTTTGATTTGGGCCTCTCTAGAGTCCTGTAGTGCTGTCTAGCAGGCTCCGGGGGCTAATTCCAAGGCTTCTAGCTCCTCGTGGCCTGGGTAGCGCGATCGCCCCCTACAAGGGGGGGGTGCATGGCAGGCACCTCTTGCCTCTTGAGTGATCTGTCATTCTTGTATGGTGTCCCGTGCTGAGCTTGAAGAGTTCCGTCAGTACTTTGAGTGCTCGCTGCTCAGCTTGGTTCGTGGTGCCTCTGTGGAAGCAAAAAAGGACGTCGATAGTGCGAGATCAGACTTCATCGAAGCACTGCAATCTTTCAGGGACGACACCCTTGAAGCTTTGACTGCTCTGCACGAGCGTGCTGACCTTCTGCTTGAGAATCAGTTTAGGCTGCAGAACCAGTTTGTGATTTTGCAACAGCGCCTTACTCGGCTTGAAGGTGAACCGGACTGCACTGACGGGCCGTGCTGCCCGGACGGGTCGAGCTTTTTGGATTCCTTGGATTAAGGGGCTTTGCTGGCGAGATGTCCTCCAGGCCCACTGACCCTGATGACAGGTCTCGCTTGGGCGGGCCACGTGGTGGCCCATATGCTGATCGTAGACTGCCTGGGGTTGGCTCTAGGCCTAGTCCCCCTCCCTCCTTCGGGTATCTTCGGTTTAGGTCCGCACCGCCCCTCCCCGAGTCGGGCATTCCCTGCCCACCTGTGAATCGGCACGTGCATTCGAGGCCCCCGGCACTGCCGACCCGCGCAGCCCCTTTCACACCGCCGTTTCAAGCCTTGCCTGAGCTTCAGGCTGCACCTCCATTGCCCAATCCGCAAGGAATGGTGGTGTCGGTATCGAACAAGCGCCCGCGCGCCAGCAAGCAGGATGGTCGCGGGATGCAGGCCATTCGTGCACACTCAGCGGCCTGCTCTCAGATTGCTGTGAACCTCATGCTGCAGCTCCTTGCCTTCTTGGGGTCTGAATCTAGCTTTTTCTCCGCCATCCAATCAGCAGTGCATTTCGATGCACACGTGCGCCGTGTACTTGCAGGTTTTGCCGCAACGACTGTCATCAGGTACATCACTACCTTTAACTCCTTTGCTACAGCTTGTGAGGACTTGGATGTGTGTCTTCTTGAGATTACTGCAGTGCAAGCGGCCGACATCTTGGTCACTTTGCAGCTTCAAAGACAGGAGGATCCGACTGTCGGATCGTCGGCAATCACTTGCATCAAGGCCGTACGGTGGGTTTGCAAGAACACCCAGTGCATTGTGTTTGAGGTTTTCTATGGCGAGCTGATTTCATCCTTCTTGAAGACCAAATTGCCTAAGGACCGCAGGGAGAGCCTACCCCTGCCGCTGTATGCTCTTGTGCAGTGGGAACGGCGCATCCTTCAGCGCTCCACCCCAGTGCGGGACATAGTACTGCTCGGTGCTTTTTTGGTCACATGTTGGGCGAGTCTTCGCTTTGCTGACAGCCAGCGCATCGAATGGAGCTCATTTGCTTTCGACGTGGTTTCGCTTCGGGCCATTGCATACCAGACGAAAACTTCGCATCAGGGCCAACCCTTCGGCCTAATCACTCAAGGCTTCTTGCATCATGGCACACACTCCTGGGTGGCTAGGTGGCTCCGGGTTCTTGATTCCATCGCTTCGCAGGAGGTGCGCGACTTTGGGGTGGCTCCTAGCTTTCTGTTTCCGGCACTGGACGATGACGCCGAGTTGCTCCGGCCCCTGGAGCCGATGAGTTACCCTTCATGCTTGCGCTGGTTGCGCTATTACTTGCAGTTTCCTTGGATGGTGTCTCCACCCGAGGTGCCCGTATCAAACTATACGGTGCACTCCATGAAGTGTAGCCTCTTAAGTTATATGCTTGAGGTGCCGGACATCCGCGGCCCAGACAGGGACGCTCAAGGACATCATAGGGGGAGTAGCAGGGAACTCTACAGCAGAGATGACGTGCTAGGGGCGCTCCGCGCTCAGACACAATTGAGGTCTGCTGTCTTGGCGGATTTTCGCCCAAGGACGCCATTGCACCGTGGAGCACAGCTGCCTATGGCACCGATCCCTTTTACTTTGGAAGCCTTCAGCAAAGAGATCGATCCTGCACCGTGGGGTTTCTTTTCCTTCGATGTTGGTGTCCCCGGGTCGCTCCCCTGGGTTCCCGGTCAATCTTCGGCATGTGCTGCGGAAACACCTGCTGCAGAGGCCAGCACCAAGGCTGCCGAGCCCTCCTTGCCCGACTCCGCATCGGAGGCTGGATCTGAGTCAAGTCTTGAGCCCGAGGCAGGGCCCGCGTCGCTCGGCCCCCCAGATGAGGTGCACATGGTCGCCGCAACAGGCGTTGTGCACGCCGCATGCCCGTCAGGTGAGAGGACACTTTGTGGCATCGGTATGTCGGGCCCACGTTGGCAGTCGGTCCACTCTCTTAGTTCCAAACATGTTCTCTGCAGGCGAAATGCCTGTGTCAATGCATTCGCTGCTCTGGAAGCTTAGTAAAAGTGCAGTTTGCTGCCTTTGTCTTGTATCGGTATGCGCTCGCATTCTGCTTGCACATGTTTTCTTCATGCATTCCATTTTCTTTGCATTGAGCCTGCCAGGACACGGGTCTGCCCTCGATCAGCCGCTTCAGGCCCGAACGGTAGTTTTTGCCGACCGCTGCTCTCGCACCATGGCAGATGAATTGTTCGATGCTAAATCCGCGGATGGATCATTCAATCTGGTGAATCCTTCACCGTGCCCGCTTAAAGCAGAGGGAGCCTCAAGCTTCAATCAGCTCCTTCAGGATCACGGCATCAGCCAGGAGCTCACGGATCGGCTGCTCGCCGACGGTTGGGATGCGAAATCTTTTCGCCATGTTGTCTGCCAGGAATCTGAGCTTGCGGGGGTCCTCCCTGAGATGTTCCCGGACACTGAAGTGTCCTTGATGCAGCGTGCCAAGCTGCGAGCCGTCTGGTCGTCGCTGCAGCGACGCGGTAATAACGATCCTGCTCCTGCAGAACCGCTGGGATCCCCGGCCAAGCAAGGCTCGGGATGGTCGGAAGCCTTCGCCCCCAAGCTTGATGCAACGCGGGTGGCCACGCTCAAAAAACGTTTCTTGGAAGCCTTCCCATCCGAAATCTTGACGGCTATGAATACCCCCTCGCTCCGCCTCTTGAGCACTGCTGTCGACGCCGAGGTTAAGAAGAACTGGTCTTGGATCCCGTGGAAGAGTCGCATGACACAACAGATGTATGAGGATTCCCTCATGCAGAAGCCCGCAAAAAGGGCCAGGATTGAGACCCTTCAGCTTTCGGACCTGTTGCTTGATGAACCGCCACAGATTGATATCAATGATTCCACCATGGGGATTTCAATGATCCGTAGGCTGTTGGAGGTGCATGACAATGCCCTCGCTCTTGCAGGCACCGCGCATCTTGCGCGCCTGAAAGCTTACACCTCTAAGTTCTTGAGCCTGGTTTCGCAAAAATTCCCGCCTGAAACAAACCTTCGGCCCCCCTCTGTGCTGGAAGCTCAGCAGGCGGACAAACACTTGTGGTCGTGCATCTTTCAGCTTGTGATCGAGAAAGAATGGCAGGTGAATGATGCGATCTACGAGTTCACGGAGATCCGTGGCGATATGTCGTCATGGCTGCAGCCCCGCGCCAAAGCTGCCTCTGCAGGCAGTCGTAGGCCGTATACACCGGGCGGCCGTGACAACCGCCCGCCCACCCCACCGCCAGGTCGTGGCAATGGCAAGGGCAAGGGGAAAGCCAAGAGCCCCACCAAGCAAGGCACCCAGCCTAGGGGCGTTCCGTGGGTTCGCGAGTACAAGGAGGGCGGCCAGGTGAAAAAATTGTGCATTGGGTGGCAGATCGGGAAATGCCAGCGTGGCAACTCCTGCGAGTTCACGCACGGCTGCGCCTTCCCTAAGCCCGATGGTTCACCCTGCCTTAGCAAGGACCACGGTGCGCCTCAGCACCCTGAGAAGTGACATCATGCGCCCGACTCGCCACCCACAGGTGTTGCCGGGTCCATCCACAGCTGGGGGGAGCTGCCTGCTCCCCCGCCACTGCCACCGCCGATTCCACCATCGCAACAGCAAGCCCCCCGGGGCTCGCAAGTTTTGGACTTCAGCTTTCCGCCACTGCCGCCACAACCCCCCTCTGCCGATTGTACAGTTTCTGTGTCACCGCCTCAGGAGGCCGTACCCTCCGTGCATCATACTGGTTCAGTGCCTTCGGGGGACGTTGCCCCCTCCACATGCACTTCAAGCACTCCCATTGCGCCGATTCCGCCCGCCAGCGGTACCGCCCCTTTGGGTCACGCACTTGAATTTTCCAATTTCTGTGGGCCGGCCTTGGCAGGCCTCTTCGATTGCATTTTGTGCTCATTGCGGGAAGCCCCTTGGCCCCAACAGGTTCGCCGTGCTCACATCATTTCCGGTGCCTCTTCTGCTTCAGGCTATTTTAATTTCGGGGTTCAGCTTTCTAGGCGTTCTTCACTTACTCAGGTCACCATCGCCCTGCCTGAGCTTTGCAGGGACCTGAATGCCCTATTCAGGTTCCTCTTTCCAAACGAGCACTGGAACGCTTTGTGTGTCTCGCGCAATGGCCTCAGTGCGCTGCATTCCGACTCAGCGAACATTCCTGGCTCACGCAATTTGTCACTCTCGCTGGGCGCCTTCTCGGGTGGCCATCTGTGGATTGAGGACCTCTCCTGCCTCTCGCAAGGCCAGCCGACATCAGTTGCATCTGGCTCGGGCTGGCTGCATGGCTGTGCTATCGACACACATCGCAAAGCCATTAGCTTCGATGGCCGCATTAGACACATGACACTTCCTTTCTCAGGAGAGCGTTGGGCCCTCACAGCCTTTTCCCTTCCTGACGTGTGTTGTGCCGAACTTGAGTTTCTGGGTTTCCCACTGCCGTCTCCCCTCTTGGGCTAGTCCTGCCCCTAGTCCCTCTGCCTCCCCCACCTCGCCCGCGGGGCTCGAGGAAGCAGACATCACTTCATCGCACTTATTAGCAGGGACGCACATTCAGGAGGAGTTTCCATCCAGTGGCAACCCTGGGTCAGCCTCCGAGGCGTCCGCAGATGTTCCTCCTGCGCAACATCTCCCTTCAGCACAGCCAATGCCTGGAGTACCGGAAGCCGTCTCGAATACTAAGCAGCACGAACCTCAGTCGTGCAGGGAACATACAGTCCATTCCAATTCGGCATCGTCCCTGGACAACCTTTTGGCGTTTCTTAAACAACAAGTCGATTATTTTTCAGGCAAAGAAACAACAGACAAGCAGCAATAAACAAAAGAAACAACAAGTTGTAACTTTACATCAAGGTCCATGCTTTGGGCTTAATTAATAAGTTTATAAATAACAGTCGCACTGCTTCGAATCTGGTTTCGGTGTTTATAGGGTACATGGGCTTCTGCAAACAATTGCCTACGGCTCTCGGTGCTTAGGGCTACGGGGCTTCTGCAGACAATACGGCACGGTGCAGAGCTGCGGGGGGCTTCTGCACATACAATTGCCTACGGCTCTCGGTGCTTATAGGGCTACCGGGGCTTCTGCGCAAACAATTAACTACGGCTCTCGGTGATTAGGGCTATACGGGGGGCTTCTGCATACACTTGCCTACGGCTCTCGGTGCTTAGGGCTATGGGGGGCTTTTGCACAAAGAATTGCCTTCGGCTTCGATGGCTCTCGGGCTTCGGGTGCTTCTGCAAATGGACAACCAACCAAGCACAACGACCGACCGACCAAGCGAACAAGCACAGCAAGCCTTCAAGCACAACCAACCAAGCACAACGACCGACGGACCAAGCGAACAAGCACGGCAAGCCTTCAAGCACAGCATGCTTTCAAGCACAACCAACCAAGCACAACGACCGACCGACCAAGCGAACAAGCACAGCAAGCCTTCAGGCACAACCAATCAAGCACAACGGTCGACCGACCGACCAAGCAAACAAGCACAGCAAGCCTTAAGCACAACCCAAGGCGCCCAATCGACCAAGCGAACAAGCACAGCAAGCGCAATCAACCAAGCACAATCGACCGACCGACCAAGCGAACAAGCACAGCAAGCCAGCACAACCGACCGACCGACCGACCGAAAAACAAGCCAACCGACCAAGCAACGAGTTAAGCGTGCGTGTGTCAGACATGGTGCACAAGCCAACCTTTTTCACTCTGCAGACGGCGCCACATCATGGATCTCTTCAAGATATATCGAGCACTCCACGCCATCAACATAGTTCGCGGATGGGAAGCGTGGGCACAAGATCTCATGAATTTCATGAAATCTTCTTCTGCAAAGTTTGCGAAGAACATGGGGTTGATAGCATTGCGTTCAATGTCAGATATCAGGTGACACAAGTAATGGTGTTTCGGCCTCACTTTGTACAGAGTTTGCTTGCGAAGCAAGCATTGCCGAGCCATCCTTTGCCAGAGTTCCAGGTGCAATTGCAGCAAAGCAGTGCCTTGAGAGGCTTCATGTCGAGCGAGAAACGGTCGTTGGCCTTTGCCGAAGAGCGACAAAGCGGAATCCAAGGACCAGAGCATAGCGGCACGAACTTGATTCCAGTGAATAAAGTCAGCATCTGCAGTCCACGGCACGGCCCGCTCCTCATTGGGTAGGATATATATATATATATATATATATATATATATATATCTATCTTTCACCATGCCATTTAGGAAAACAAGCGATATGGCTGATGCAGTTCAAGTACTACGTCAATGGCAAAGTGTGTCACAAACGCCAGCAAGTTCCTCGTTCGAGATGCTTTGATGCGTGACGACAGCTCAGGGTAGTTGGCGCTGTCCGATTTGCCCAGCGATGCCACCGTCAGCGGCTTGATGTGGACGTCCAGGCGACGGTCACGAGCCCACAGCTTGGCGCGTGCAGTAAAAGTAAACAGGACATTGTCGAACGGTGTGTCAGAAGCCATGCCCAGGAACTCATGCATCTGACCTGGACGATTCGAAAGCACAAATGATAGCAACTTCTAAACCCCATGACATGCAGCAAACAAACCCACGTCACAGCTTACCATGCTCCGAGATTCGGCTTTCCAACGTTTCCCAGAGGACACTGCCAATGAGGTCCCGCAAGATGCCCAGATGGGCAATGTGCATTACTCGGCTGCAGAGGCACCACATTAGTTGTTAAAGCAACTCTTTCAATCTCAGTCCTACACCGTTTACCAGCCAATCATACTGCAAGTGGGAAGCTGTCGAAAGCGCGTCTGTGTTTGTGAAAGCCAGGGATCACCTTCCATGGAGTGTGCTCCTCTGTGGTACATGCTTGCCTCGGTTCCAGGGTTCGTCGCCAGTTGGCAGCCATCGTAAAGTCAGCGTAGGTGAGGCCACGAAGTCTTTTCTGGGCAAGGCAAAGGTCGCAACAGTTGTTGGTCAAATAATTCCTTCTCAACCGGTGGCTGAGCATGTGGGCTTCCTGGTCACCCTTCCACCACGAGAAGATGGCACGTTTGTCGCCCATGATCGGGGTTTTTGCCCTCTTGCCCCTGAAGCTGTTTTCTGGGAAAACCACGTCCAAATGGTCGCGATCTGCAAAACATCCAGTTTTCAAGGATCTCAGGTCCCACTCAAGCACAGCCAGCACTGCCTCTCGTGTTTTGGCGCAGATGCGACTGGAAGGCAAGCCAATGAAGCAATGTCGCGACAAGAGGGATCCCTTTTCGTTCAGGGGCACAGACCAGCTCCAGAATGCCGCAGACTCATCATGATAATTTGGCACGGCGTCTTCGTGCCAGACCATGGGGTACGTCAGGTGCAGCGGGTGGTCCTTATGAGCAGAGAGGTACACCTCATCTGTTTCTCCTCAGTGTGTCGCCCACGGACTCAAGCATTTGTGTTATACGGGGGTTCAGGGGTCTGTGGCTAGATAGGTAGATTGGTCGATATGTTTTCTTTTAGAAAAAAATAAACTACTTTAAAGTTGCGGAGTTTCTGGCCCACCACTCTTCCAAGCTTCCCAGCCCCAGAAAAATTTCAGACTCCAGGCCTCGAGCGTGTATTTCATGGAAGACATCAGATGGCAGCACGAAGCAAACCTCCTCGTGAACCAAACTTCTGGTTTGATTCTGGCCGGGTCTCCCAGAGCTGAGCAGCGGCAGCTTACATCTGTATCCACGGAAAGGGAGTTGTATCCAGCGCCACATGTCTCTTTCTCTCGTGCTCCTTGAAAACTGTCGATTTGCGACACCACGTGCACCGTCACAGACAAAGGCTGCGGCAATCTTAGCGGAGTCGTGAATCGACATGGCACCAGACCCCACACGTTCTGCCAACACTTCCGCTCCACGGCCATCCATGTCGTCTGTCTTCCTGATCAGCTCTGTACAGGGGTGGCAAGTGCCAACGCCCTGAAAGAGATGTGGAAATAATGCGGTTGAGACTCATTCGTCGATGTTGTTGCTTCCTGCAGCAACCATGCAAAATTTATGCTGAGCGTAGCTGTGGACAAAAGCATTATTGCAACTCCCCATAATTGATTGCATGTTCTGCTGGCAGCTGGCATGACCGCGGACTCCAAGTTCGGAGCTGCACTGCACGAGGTGGACGCACCGTACCTGCGACAGGATATATAATAGGACGAGATTGTGATCGATCGTGCGACGCGAGACCGAAGGCAACAACGCAGCTGTCAGATTTTTTGTCACAATAGCCGCTGAACTATAGCAAAAGTGTGCAGGATTCTGCAGGCATCGGAGCAGGATCTGTCTTGGCCATGACGACATGCGCAGCAACGCAATATTCATTGGTATCATTGCGGCTCCCTAGAAGGGGCCGGGTCAAATTCTATTTCCTGGATTGAGGGGGCCGGGGCCTCAGCCCTGGAGGCGAGGCCCCACACTAGAGTAACATGGACAAGATTGCATCCCTGCCACGTCTGCCAGACAGCACCCGTGACCCGCACGACACCTGCGCTGCCGGGAGAGGAGGCCTCATGCCCGGCAGAGACGAACCAAAACAAGCGAGGGTTTCACTGCTCCTTTGGAGCACCCTTGCGTTTCTTGTTGGATCCCTGCTTATTGGCCGGTTTCATGGTCGCTGCTTTTGTGAGGCTTTCAGCTGCTTGCTTCGGCCTTTCCATATCTTGCAGCAGCAGCACGTACTGCTTCCCGAAAGGGAGGTACTGCTCCTCCACCTCCACTTTGGCTCTCAACAATGCCTTCACATCGTTGTACAATTTCCTGGCATGTGACATGCGCCACGCACACATGTGGCAGAATCGAAAACAGTTCCCTACGAGAGAAAGTATAAGTGCGAGCGGGGCACTTGAAGTTGCTCTCGGCGTTGGCCAGATCTTTCAGCAAGTCCTTGCCGTAGGGATTCGCTTCCATCTCCGTCTTCAGCTTGGCAGCCAACGTAGACCCAGCCAGGGCTTTCTTCGCCAGGTCCTCGCCCTTGTCGAGCACAGTCATGTTTTCCAGCGTCTTCTTCTTCGGCTTCTTGGGTGCTGGCGGATTTCGGGTATCCTTCTCTCCCGATGGCACACCCTTCGGATCGGCCGTCGCAGGCGTTGATGGCACCGAAGGCGAAGGCGGGGGAGCCGAGGACGATGACGGCTGTCCAAGCCGTCGTTTCAGAGCACTCGGTTCGGGCCGCCTCCGTAGCACATGTGCAAAAAAAACATGTGGTGCACAAATGCATTGGACCTGCAACCCTCACTAAATCTGGGTAGGTGGCATAAGATCTTTCAGAGCAGGCAAATCATCTCGATGAACATTCGTGCGGGCGCCCACGATCTGGCCTGAGATAACATGAAATAAGCTATGGGATTCTCGAGGGAGACTGATTGACGTCACAAACACACAATTAAAGGCACATGTCCAGCATGGGATCAGTCAGGCCAAGGAACGATCGATGTCGGAACTCCCCCAGTTCCTTCGAGAGGACACGGGCAGCAGCACTTTTAAGATGCAGCAGACCTACAGAACATGCATGAACAAAACTCTCAGACGTCGCATGATGTCATGTGGTCCTCTCTGTCTTGGAAAGGTAGAAGATCTTGGAGCCTCGGAGGTTTGGATCTTCGGCCCAATCTCCACTGGCTTCCTTCTCTTTCATGACATCTGTCGCCCGCTCTCCGTATTTCTGGATCAGTTCCAGCTCCGTGTAGGGAGCTGAATTCGTCAGCTCCTGGCTGCTGACCTCCTTCACGACTTGCCGCTCGTAGCTGCTGCACAGCTCCTGCAAGTCGCCCCCATGCTCTATGAGCTCACTGATCAAGTCCGAAACGGAGTCGTCATCCTCTTTTGCAAGCTTCTCTCTCAGGGAAGCGGGCAGGGCTTCCTGCCTTTTCGGATTCTTCCTCAGGCGATTCAGAAGCATCGCGCTCTGGCGTCTGTTGCACGCAGGCTTTTGCACCGGCGGCTCTTCGGAAGCCGGCTTCCGATCCACAGTTTTTTTTGCTTCTTCCTCTTTCTTCTCATCCTTCTTCTCATCCTTCTTCTCTTCACACGAGGGCTCCTCGGTTTTCTCCTCCTTCACTTTGGTCCATCCCAACTGTTTCTTCACTTCGTCCTCGTCATCCACTCTGGACCTCAGGGCCTGTGACTGCTGACGCAGCCGGGCGAGCTCATCCATTTTTTTCTTGTCCTCCGCTTGCTTGTCGAGCTGCTCCCTGACTTTCGCCATCGCTTCTTGCACAGTTTCTGAATCCATCTTGGACTGTAGATTCAGTTTTCGCTGAATTTCCTCCTGACGTGCTTGCTTCTCCGCTTTCAGTTGATCCAGCTCCAGCAGAAGTCGCTCCCGTTCGTCTTCGTATCTCTTCTCCTGTCAGTTTCTAGCCTAATGGTTTACAAGGTTTATAGGGGTTAGGGGTTATAAGGGTTTGGGGAGGTTCATAAGGGTTTAGGGGTTAGGGCGAGTTTTGGGAAGATCGGATCAGAGCGTGCACGTGTTGGGTTTAAATAAGTTAGGGTTTAGGGTTTCTAGGGTTCAGGGTTGTGGACATTTAAGGTTTAGGATTGATCGGCCTGGTCTAGTGGAGTCTCTTTGGCCTTTTCATTTTCTTTCTTGAGCCTGGCTTCCTCCTCCTCCTCCTCTTTTTTCCTGATCTCTTCTTGGGCCTTTTCTTCTGCCTCCTTGCGCCTGGTTTCCTCCTCCTCTTTTTTCCTGGTCTCATCCTTGGTGTTTTCTGGGCCCTCCTTGCACTTGACTTCCTGATCCTTCTGGAGCATCACGAGCTGCCGTTCCAAGTCATCCATCTCCTTCCGGAGTCTTTGTCTGGTGTTTTCTGCTTCCTCCTTCCGCCTGGCTTCCTCCTCCTCCTCCTCTGTTTTCCTGATCTCTTCTTGGGCCTTTTCTGCTTCCTCCTTCCGCTTGGCTTCCTCCTCCTCCTCCTCTTTTTTCCTGATCTCTTCTTGGGCCTTTTCTTCTGCCTCCTTGCGCCTGGTTTCCTCCTCCTCCTTTTTCCTGATCTCATCTTTGGCCTTTTTTTCTTCCTCCTTGCGCCTGGCTTCCTCCTCCTCTTTTTTCCTAATCTCTTCTTCGGCCTTTTCCTTTGCTTCCTTCTTAAGCCTGAGGTTTTCCTGATCTTGCTTCATGATCTCTTCCCAGCGCCTGTTGTCTTCCTCCTCCTTTTTCTGCATCTCCTCCATTCTCTTCGTTTCTTCTTCCTTGCGTCTCTTGCATTCCTCCTCATCCTCCTCAGCTTTATTCATCCTCATGGATTCTTCCTTCTTACGCAGATCCTCCAACTGTCGTTCCAAAGCAGCTCTGCGTTGCATGAACTCCTCATCCTTAATCTTCTGTTCGTCTGCGATCCGTTTCGCTTCCTGCTCCTTGGTCCTGCGGATTTCCTCTTTCATCTTTTCTTCTTCTTTTGCCTTCCGCTTTGCATCCTCCTCTTTCTGGCGGATCTCCTCCTTCAGCCTTTCTTCTTCCTTCCGCCTGGCATCCTCCTCCTCTTTCTTGCGTATCTCTTCATTCAGCTCCTCTGCCTTCCGCATGGCTTCCTCCTTCTGTCGGATCTCCTCGTTCAGCCTTTCTTCTTCTGCCTTCATCTTGGCTTCCTCCTCCTCTTTCTGGCGGATCTTCTCCTTCAGCATTTCTTCTTCCTTCCGCCTGGCTTCCTCCTCCTCTTTCTTGCGGATCTCCTTCAGCTCCTCTGCCTTTCGCATGGCTTCCTCCTTCTGTCGAATCTCCTCTTTCAGTTTTGTTTCTTCTGCCTCCATGGCTTCCTGCTTCTTCCGGATCTCATCCCTCAGGCGGTTTTCTTCTTCCCTACGCCTGCTTTCCTCCATCCCCATGCGGATCTCCTCGTTGAGCTCATCGCTGAGCCTTTGTGTTTCTTCCTTCCGCCTGGCTTCCTCCTCCTCCTCCTTCTTTCGGATCTCCTCATTCAGCCTTTGTTCTTCCGCCTTCGCTGTGGCTTTCTCATCTTGTTCCTAGCAATGATTCAGGGCGAAAGTATGCGGGCGTTGGCACTTGCCACCCCGCACGGACGTACACTTGTCCTAGCAATGATTCAGGGCGAAAGTATGTGGGCGTTGGCACTTAGCCACCCCGCACGGACGTACACTAGTCCTAGCAACGATTCAGGGCGAAAGTATGCGGGCGTTGGCACTTGCCACCCCGCACGGACGTACACTTTAAGGGTGTTGGCACCTACGAACTGCAAATCCTACCTCCATTTGTTTCTTCAAGGAAACCACACGGTTCCGCAGGAATTCCTCTTCCTCCATTCGTCGCTTCTTTCTTGCCTCGACGGAAAGACCGGACGACTTGCATGCAGAGCACCTAATTCAACCAAATGCAATTGGGTCGCTTCTTCGATCTCGAAAATCATTTCGACTTTCTTGAGTGGATCAAGCTGGGCATCTTCTGAAATCTCCTGCGCTGAATTAACATCACGAGTCCAATGCATGCGGTGTCCAGACAAAAGGATACCGGGCCTTCATTTCCGCTTCATCCATGAGATCTTCGAGATCCATTTCCAGGTAATCGTTGTCAGCCTGACAGAGAAATGCACATTGAGCAACGTACACATGTTCTGCCGCATGAAACAAGCCCACCTGCGTCGCCAGCGTTGCTTGGGTCGAGAAGCATTGCGTCTCGCTGGCCCGAGGAGCAGGATGCACTTCGGCATCTTTCAAACCCCGGCACACAACTCGACCGATTTTCTCGGCCGAGTCCATCTGCTCCAACTTCACCCTGATGTCGGACATGTTTGAGTTTTGTTGCTAAGCTGGCTTTGCCAAGTTGTCTGTCAAATTACAAAATGTCGGACATGTCCGACATCAAGGATCGAAGCACGACCCAAAGCAAGGGCCTCCCTACGCACGGGATCCCTACAGGAAAACCAAAAGCTGCAGGTGGGCAATCGGAGCTCCATATATGCAGCAGCGAAGCACAGCCCGTAGAATGCATCATGTTCACAACAGCAATTACGCTGCCCAATGTTTTGACACAAGCGCAGACAGATGTTGCATTCAAGCGTCAAGCCATCGGATCCTGAGACGACATCCAACCAACAGCAACAGATGCCATGAAGGCAATTGGTAACGGTTTGGTGTGTTATGTACTCGAATGGATAGGAAGGGTAAGTTGCTCTATAGGGGTAACGGGTCGTAACGGGTGGGTAACGGGTGGCCCTGTTCTATTATGTAATAGACGTTTCTTTCGGTAACGGGTCGGTAACGGGTCGTTCCGTTGTACGGTTGATTGGAACTTGTTTGTGACGGATGATACGAAGCAGCAAATGCAGTCGGGTCACAGGAAACGTCGACAGTACATGAGGGTATCCGCCAGCTCCAAGTCGACATCGTCATATGAAACAGCCCGAAGTATGCCAACCTACGGTCAGCATGGCCAGGGCAACACTCTATCACAGCAGAGTTCAGGGGTAGACGTGCCACCCAATCCTTCATTTGGAGCAGGCCCATGTCACCAGAAGCAGCCAATGCGGCAATCCGACGGGACATCCTGCACGTGTCTAATGTAACACGATCCGGATCACACCGATTCATACCATGCAGCAAGGTCCCGAGGGATCGCAAGCGACTGCGATGGATCTTCCACCAGTTCGCGATGCATCGCCCAAACCTGGGTTGGCATTCAATCCTATCTAGGCCGCACGATTAAACTGCACGATTAAGCAGTCACGCAATCTCGGGCATGTGCTCGACGGGATAGTCTTGACTGGCCTTCAATCCCGGACCGCCCGTGACTCGTTCGACTCCATTCACATCATGAGTCCTCGTTGGGTAGACGATATATACAGGGGAACAAGGACACCATGCAGGAATGCCACTAGCTAAACCGAGATGCCTGCAGGTCACAGGCAGACTGGAGTGATCACTCTTTGTGAAGGACGTGTAGCTCGTGAGGGCTTCCGTGACATCATCAGCAGAATGCACACAGGCTTCAGTGAATCGGCGCCCCAATTTCCCAGGTTGATGCTATACTGGCTCAGGCCACCTCTGTCCTTAAAGAAGGATATCAAATATTGCATGGGCACCGTGTTGACTATATGAGAACCTTTCGGGTTCTCAATCGTGAACACAGATCCACGCCACCATGCCAGCAAGGCGAATGCCACCGTGACACCAACGAGGCGGTTCCCCAAAGCCACGTGCGGCCTGGTGGTGTCCCCTTCCGGAAAGAAGGGGCTCCTCTGATGTGTTGCAGCATTTATCCATACAAAGCTGGAGCAGACGACGCCGAGATGACATAGCGCCCCTGGCTGGGCCAGCAGGATTGCTGCCACGCCGACCAGCAAGCCAATGTTGGAGCTCAGGTCATGCAGCTCGCTGCCTTATACGAACTAGACAAGGTTCAGTTCTCGAAAATTGGAAAGACAATACATGATGTATTGCAGCATTGGTTCGATCGACATCAATGGCTTTCACATCGTAACCCATATTCCGCCAAGCAGATGCCAGGCGGGCTTTCCCAGCGAAGAATTCCAGGAGTTGCACATCACCGCACACCTCCTGACAGGAATGATAAAGGCAAAGAGGATTGGTTCTGCGTGGCAGTCACAATTTAAATTGCTGCTCCTCCGACGCACGAACTCCTGCTTTCTGCAGGACAAAGTGGAAGATCACCAGTTCCACCAGAACCTCATATCCAGGATGTTGTGAAATCGCAAATCCGGAATGAACATGGATTTAATGTGACATACTCTTGCGTTTTTTCCCATTCGCCGCAGCGCCATGCGGTTGCATCATCACGCAGCATAGCTTCAGCTAGCGTCTGCCATTGCAGCGTTCTTCAGGTTCCGGAGTCTCTCCAGAACCGTGCCCTCATCACCACCATCATTAAGCTCTGCTGCGGCAGCGTTCACCTGAAGCACTTGAAAAATGGGTCCCAAGAGCACGTCCGACCGAGGTTTTCCTTAGGAAGCATACATTCAGCGGTGAAAGATCCCAGCCTCATCGAAGTGGTGGCTCAATTGTATGAGCTGCTTGTCTTTGCCATTATCCAGCTTCTTCGCCAGAGCCAGGATCTGGACCACAACATGTTTGACGCATCATATGCAGCATATGACGACATGCACTGCATGTGAAGTTTATCCTGCCGGCGAGACACATCTTTTCCATTGCGACGTGCCTTCTTTGTGACGTAGGTCTTTCTTG